GGGTGAGTGAAAGGATGGATGGATGGATGGATGGGTTTGAGGATGGGTGAGTGAAAGGATGGATGGATGGATGGATGGGTTTGAGGATGGGTGAGTGAAAGGATGGATGGATGGATGGATGGATGGATGGATGGATGGATGGATGGACGGACGGACGGACGGACGGACAGAAAGACGGACGGATGGTTGGATGGATGGATGGATGGATGGGTTTGAGGATGGGTGAGTGAAAGGATGAATAGATGGATGGATGGATGGGTGGATGGGTTTGAGGATGGGTGAGTGAAAGGATGAATAGATGGATGGATGGATGGATGGACAGACAGAAAGACGGACGGACGGATGGTTGGATGGATGGATGGATGGATGGATGGGTTTGAGGATGGGTGAGTGAAAGGATGAATGGATGGATGTACTCTAAAGAGATTAAATCTAAAGTCAAACCAAAGGAGTGGACTGGTATGTTTGTCGGTGGTTTAAAGGCAGTGTGTGTGTGTGTGAGAGATGAGTGTGTGTGATGACACAACAAGAGGAAAGGCTTCACAGCAGAGTCCCGGTGTGAGCGGCTCAGTCAACACGGCACTTTACATGAAGGGCGTGATGTTACAGGAGTTAATGCTCAGCGGGAGCCATGTACATTTCCAGCGTGGTGTCAGCTGCAAATGTTAAGACCTCATCATCACACCGCCGCATCTGGCTTAGCAGGTTCACAAACCTTCCACTGCAATTTGTCAGCAGCACGGAGCGGCCCTGGTTCCAACCTGCTGCCACCAAAAAGAATGAAGAAAAAAAACTTCCAATCCAGATAGAACGGATTGGAGCGAATGAAAATTTAAAATGTCAACTGTCAAATTTCCTCGTGTTCAATTTGGTTGTGATGGACTAGGTTACAGTTCAGCAGGCAGTGTCTGATGGGATATATTTATCATTACGTGTAATTGCAAAGAGCTGCGTGTGCTCGGGCAGAAAGAAAAGAGTGGGATGAAAGAGAGAGAGGAGAGACGAAGGAGTAGGAAAATAAAAAAAGTACAACCTGAAAACCATTAGAGTGGATTCGCTCGGTTGAAATTATTCATGAAAGTAGAAAAATGTGACATTAGAATAGGTGTTCGCTGTTATTAAAGTGCCACAATGGTGGAGTGCTAAATACGAGTTCAGATGCTGCCTGGCTGTGTCGTCATAGCAATAGATGAGCGGTGGGTGAGAGGACTGACACGAGTTTTGTTCCTGATGCGAAAGGCCGGGAGAACACTCTAGTTCGTTTATCTGAAAGGTTTTATCCACCCTTGACTTTTCTTTCTGCGTCTTTTGTTGGATTCGGAAAGTGCAAGTAATTCTGAGCAATTTCTTTAGATGGGAAACATTACGGTAATAATCCAAAACATCGACTCTGGAAACGTTTAGTTATTCCCAGAAAAACCTCGTCTGAAAGAGATTTTGGAAAGTCAACAAAACAAGATGTAACCTCTAACCAGTCGTCACCCCACAGGAAGGAGGCAGGTGGAGTTGGTTAGAAGAATGTTCTCTTCTTCGTTTTAAAAGGAGACTAGACAGTTTGGCTTGCTTTTAGCACCCTAACAGCTGAAATGTCTCCTCAGCCTTCCTTGGTGTCTACAGGAGTGATCCATCACTGAATTAAACAAATCGGCTGTGTTAATGATCTAAAACATGCAGGAAACCTGCTGGAAGCAGACTGCAGCGCCAGGTATGTCAGCCTGCCACTCTGAAGTTGCAAGTGTGATATTCTGGTCTGAGTCACTTTTCGTTTAACCTGTAAAGGGTCGTTTTAGCACATGCTGGCTCAAGAGAATGATCTAAAAATACGAAAAAGTTGTAAAGTATTCTTTTAACACCTAAAACTCACTTTTTGATTATATATTCTCAGACTGCTGTCTAGTTCACGGGCAGTAATTCATCAGCAGAATCACTTTTCACACTTCAGTGAACTCTGTGTAATTTGAAACCACAGATTAACAGATGATGCTGCCTCCACACAGCTAAAATAAATCCCAAAGCAAGTCATTAACAGGTAGCAGACAATTAGTTTCCATGTGAACATCCGGCTCCAGAGGGAGCGATTAGTCTGACACAAGGTGGGCCGCCGTGAAACAAGGCAAGTGACCCATTTGTGGTGGGGGGAGGTGGTATGAGCAGGTGTGCTCGCCCAGGAGGGAGCTTCAGGTAGGTGGGCAGGCAAACAGACTTTTGACACCCTTCTAACCACGCGAGGCCTCTGCGGCTGACAGCTGCTGCTTCACATGGAGAGGATGGACTGCAGGTGATGCAGCTGCTATTTTTAACCCGGAGGCTCCTTGCAGGAACAAGAGCTCCATGTGAATAGCTGTTCCCTCTTTTGCCTTTGGAAGACTGGAAGAGACTCTCTGAAGGCTGAGCATCAGAGGATGCAACCTAAACAAGCTTCTCATCATGTTTTATAGAAAAGTAAACTTGCACAGATACACCTTTTTTTATATCTGCAATACAATCAGAAATTAAAAATTTCATTCATCTGATGGACAGAACCTGCAGATTAAACTCGGAGGAGTTCTGTTTGGATTTAAGAAGGTAATAATAAACACACTGCTCTCTGTGAAGGTCAGAATCAGTGCCACTCTGATTTTTGTTTCCTGAAATCGAGCTCGAAGCACCTGCAGGTGGTTATGATTTATCTCGTGGCCGACACAGAAACCTTTCCAGGCTGAGGCATCAATCTCCCGCCGTCATATGTTTGAACGCTACAGCAGTGGGAGGAACGAGAGCCGGTCTTCAGGCCATCATGATGAATGTTAGCTGGACCCAAAGGATCTGATCACTCACACAAACGGGTTTAATCTGAATATTGGCCTGATTTTTGTATTCTTTCATCCTGGGGATCAAAAATAAACCCAACCTCAGTATAATGAACCCCAAATGACACGTAAGGTCACGTGTGCTATCTGAGAAGGAATAAAGCAGAAAATCATCAAGCAAATTCTTGAAATGAGACTGGAAGAAGGAAGGAAAATGAAAGGAATAAAGGCTTATTGTGCTCTCCAGCTTTCACTGAACAGAAAAAAAGGCCTTTTTACCTTCCAAGTCTGGCAGTTTGGACTGTAAAGGGGTACTTGAAAGGATAATTTACCAGTAAGAGGCTGAGCCAGCTCTGTGGGGAAAATGGGCTAAAAGTTGGAATATTTCAGTCTTCGCTGCTTCAGCTTGATTGTAACCAAGAGATTTTTACATTTCACTTAAAGATTAAAATAAAAGTGCTTATAGTTTGATTTGGATCCCGTGATACTTAAAACATGTAACAATTAGATTTATTTTAGAGAAAACCCAAAGTTTCTAACAATATTTGACGTTTTAACAGCTTTTTTTCATTTGAACAAGTTGGTCTGGTTACAAAAATAGATTTTTTAAATTATTCTGAAGCACATCAGTTTATGTATTTTTTACATTATTAATTTTAAATTAATATTTTAAAAACATTGTTGGTGGGTTGTAATTAATACAGAGAGACCATAATAGTCACCATCAAGGCTTCCAAGTGGAGATGCACCAGCTCTGGGTGGTCTCCAGCATGAATGAATGCCTTATGAGGCTCGGGTGCTCCTGTTTTAGGAAGTAGAAGTCAGTTGGATGAGTGGTGCATGATCTGCTCCTCTGATTGGCTAACAGCGGCATGACTCATCTAATACTTTTATTTTCTTTTTATTTTCTTTCTTGGGTAAAAAACACAACATTGATGTATTATCTCTACTTATAACACAAGATCCAACGTGCTCCGCCATCTTGTGGAGGTGTTAATGGTAACAATTAGCTTCTACTAGCCGAGGTGCACTCTGCTTTCTTCTGTGGGCGATCCCAAGCCAAGGTGAGCGGGGCCATGTATGATCATTTCCCTGTGATGTACAATAGAGTGAATTTTTCTTATCTGACTGTTTCCCCCAATATTTCCTTTCTGTGGTTAATGTGGAGGATTAATTGATTCTTTTTTATTTATTTATTCCACCGCTTGGCAGAAAAACTCAAACTGACTCAAAGTAAGACATTGACATGTTCGCTTACATGATGTGTGTAGATGGCAGGAGGGGCTACAAACATGACCTTTAACAGACACGCCCACTTGCATGCATCTTTTAACCTCTTTCTCACATCAGGTGTCTGTGTAGCCAGAGGCCACGGTGAACACACACACACACACACACACACACACACACACACACACACACACACACACACACACACACACACACACACACACACACACACACACACACACACACACACACACACACACACACACACACACACACACACACACACACACATGCTCTGCTGCACACAGAGGAAAAGGGTGTGTTTGTTAGTGTGTGGGAGTGAATGGGGGGGGGGGGGGTCTTTGCCTTGTCAACAGGATGAGGAGCAGGGAGGTGGGAGCTGGAGCATGAGTCTCTTCTGGGCTGATACTGGGATTTCCTCCACAGCTCAGAGGAGGAAAACACAGCTTCATATAAATAGACTCTGCCCCCTGAAAACACCTCGACTCTGTTTGCTTTCATCTGTGTGTGTGTGTGTGTGTGTGTGTGTGTCTGTGTGCGTGTGTGCGTGTGTGCGCACCACCCACAGGGCAACAATAACATTAACAAAGCTCCTTGATGCAGTGTAATTTGTTGATATAGGCCTGCTTTGTGTGTCTGATGCCCGGCTCTGTTAACACCACCCTGTGTGCAGAAGCATCATGACTGCAAGTTACTAATTCTAGACTCCGAATGTGCATTTGAATGAGTGTAAATGAGTGTTTGTTTGTTTCAGCAGCCTGGTTGACTGAGAAACTCATTGTCCTCTCTCTCTCTCTCTCTCTCTCTCTCTCTCTCTCTCTCTCTCTCTCTCTCTCTCTCTCTCTCTCTCTCTCTCTCTCTCTCTCTCTCTCTCTCTCTCTCTCTCTCTCTCTCTCTCTCTCTCTCTCTCTCTCTCTCTCTCTCTCTCTCTCTCCCCCACCCCCACCGTGATGCCTGCAGGGTGGAAAGGAACCAGCCACTCTGTCCACCGTATAAGCTACAGCTGGAAGAGTGCCTATCTGCTGAGCAGGTGCCCACCCCCGAGCTCATTCAGGGCTACGTTAAGAAGGTAGGACTGCTTTACAAATGCCAGGCTGAAGGTTTTGTCAGGTTGAGCTCAGCAGGAGCGAGGAGTGTGCACCAGGAGGATGGAGGAAGAATCATCAGTGGTCCCTTCAGAAAGTGGGATCATCTTGGGTGGAACACAAAAACCAGAAACCTTTTCTTCCTGCCATTGTTAGACTTTTATTTGAATAAATCCAGAAATATGAGAGTCGGACAGTCTGATTTCTGACTTAATCTGGTTCCTTATTTTGTCTCTCTGGAACTCACCCGGACCTCACCTGAAGCTTTTCTTAATTTAACACCCATGAGATAAAATGTGAGGGAATTTTGAGAGTGAAAGGCCACCAAACTGACAGGCAGCAGGCTGAATTGTGCACAACGTGAGTCATGATGAGATATCTGATTGAACAGCTGCTGGTTTTGTTCACAATTCTGTCTTGCCCACAGCCCAGTGAGAAGCTTTACCATAAGAACAAAAATAACATTTACGTCATTAAATAGATATATTATTAAATATGTTATACACAATTCTTATATTTCCTCATATTTTAATACATTTGCAGTGGGCTCTTGTAGAAATGAATGTCTTGAAAGTTTTCTGGGGGTGAAAAAGCTCCGGTGCACCATTTTGAGGACGAAGAAGTTCTATCAGAAGAGAATGAGGCAGATCATTAGAGGATATGGACTCATATTTCCTGATATTGGAACAAATCTCCTCTGATTGGCTAACAGCAACTCAACTCTACCATTTACGCTTTCGGCTCTGCAACAAGGATGTTTGATTTCCACCAAAAACACAAACCTGAAGAAGTTCTGCTGTGTGGTGGAGTTGCTAAAGCTAATGGTTAGCTTATTTTTGCTGAGACGTTCTCTGTTGTTTCCTGGATGCTAAACCAACAACAGCCTTCCAGTGCCGAGTCAAGATGGGTGACTCCATGAATGTTAAGTGACAGCGTGATGCAGATTTGTCAGGATTTTCAAATCCTAGAGTTTCGCCGTTTTTTTCTATCATGCAGGAGTTAGGTGTAGGAGACTATTTTCATGTTCAGCCTGCATGAAAAACTCAGAGTGACGGATTATAATCAGAAATAATGATGCTTTTTTTGTGAAGTTGACCTTTAATATCTTTGAAGCTCACCCTTTACTCTTTTAAATTCACATTATTAAAGAGTATCACATAGAACCAGAGAAGTCAGAAAAATCACCTCATTTCTATCTTCATTTAATATTTTCAGCATTTAAAGCCATGTTTATTTTATCTTATCACTCAACTGCCATCATCATCATCATCATCATCATCATCATCATCATCATCCTTTGACTAACAGCTTGTCACTGAAATGACGTGAACTATTTTTGAAGAGTGACAAAATGAATACTTTATCTCATTTCCACCTTAAATAGAACAAACATGGAGGAGTTCGAGTCCTTTCGTGTCAGACTCGATTGAAGGGGAGTGCTAAAGCTTTGATTTAGTTTCATTGGCTTCAAAAGTAGCTGGTAAATGTATTTGTAGATTGTTGCTTCAGTAAATTCAGGTAAAGATTGGTTTTAATATAAAAAAATGTATAAAAGGTTTTGGCTGGACTGAGATCTGGTGACTGTTAGCCTAGTGAACTAGACCAAATTCTTGCTTTCTGGTCATAAAGGGATGGACATGGTCAGCAAAAAGACTCAGGTAGGCTGTGGTGTTTAAACCAGGCTCAAGTGGGTCTGAGGGGTCCAAAGTGGGACCAGAACACCACAATTACCATTACACCTGCAGCTGTAGCCTGAAGCCTTGAGACAAGGCAGGATGGATCCATGCTTTCATGTTGGTGACACTAAATTCTGACCCAACAGTTGAAATTCAGACTCATCAGAACCAAGAAAGGTGTCTCCAGTCTCCCCTGGTCCAGTTCAGGTGATGCTGTGTCAATTGTAGCCTCAGGTTCCTGTTCTTATCCGACAGGTGAGACACCAGGTGGTCTGCTGCTGCTGGAGTCCATCTGGAGCAGCTGGTGAGCTTCTGCAGAGCTTGGTACAAACCAGAGCTGTTGCCTTTTGACCCGTCTCTGTAGACCCTAGAGATGGTTGTGAGTGCAAATCCCAGTCCAGCCAGTTTGAGATCTCACTTGTGTATTCCTCATGTAATTTCACTTCTACAGCTGAATGTGTTGCTCGTTTCCCCGGAGCGGAGGAGTGAGGTGTAATAAAAGTGGCCCGTGGAGATGCATCAGTAGCAGGTGTCATCAGGATGTTTTAAAGGTGTCATGCTGCTCAGCTGTGCTGCTTTCAGGTGTCTGAACTCAGCATAAAACACTTAAAGGTTGTGTTTGATCCCTGGAATCTGTGGTTTTCATTCTATAGACGAGATGAATGCAGGAGATCTGGATTCTTATCCAGCCATTAGATAATGAATCGGCTCTTTAGCGTTTCTCTACGTTTACAGTCGCGCTGCAGCAGAAAAAGCTTGTTGGAAATGGCACTTCAGATGATAAATAGGACAAAAGCTCGGTCTTGAGAGAGCATCGTGGTGATTTAAAGCTCCTGCCTGATCTATCTATTACAGACGGAGATGTGGGGCCTTTCCAGCCTTTATGTACATTTCATCCATCGATTAGTCGTGCGCCCACAGTCCATAGGAGCTCATTACTGTTGCTTATCGTTTTAATCTTCTGAGCTGCTGTAGGAACAGAAAGCCTTGCTAGAAATCCCTTATAAAGGAAGTTGAGGAGGAAAGACACATCCCCTTCAGCTTCTCACTCTCTTGAACATTTCTTTCTCTTTTCCCCTTCCTCTCTGTCTTCTCCTCTGTCATTATCATTTCAGCTTCTTTGTCTGTCATCTCTCGCTCCGTCTCCGGGGTTTTCAGCTTGACCTTCAGACACCTCCTCCCAGTGCCACTTTAATAACTTATAGGGGAAATAGGAAATGTGGTCTCAAGTCAAAATTGAAATGGGTTTTTCACTGCAGGCTGTTGATATTCTGCTGGCAGAGCACGCTAAGCTACTCCCAGAATATTTTTCATCAAATTTGTGCTCTGCTTCGTTTTGGTTAATGAAGAGAAGTGAAGCGATTTCGACCTCCAGACCTCATTTTCTTGACCCAAAGACAGCTCCCTTTGAGCCACTGAGACTCGTCTGTTCGTTTAGATGAAGAGGTTCCGAAAAATGTTCATTTTGGGATTTAGCCTTCATTTTTTCTAGCCTCAATAATATAAATCCTGTACAGAACTGAACTTAACCCATTTTAACCCTTCAGGACTTTTGTTTATCTGCTATCAGGATGAAAAATATAAATATTCATCCTTTCATACGTTTGATTTGCTGTTTCATCTAAAACCTAAAGTCAGATTTGGGTTTATTAACTTAAAAAATCCTCAGAGATGCATCTGATTCATACAGAGTATAATATAATATAATGTTGTAAATATTGTTTATGTTAAAGAACTAATTAAAACAGTACAATTATGTTGTCCATTCAAACAGATAATGATAATAATAAACAGATAATAATTGGTACAAACAACATTTTTCTTTCCATCTGAAGATCAAAAATCTGATCACAAAACTTTCTTTTAAGCAGAAAAAGTTCAGAGAAGTTTTTTCTTTTTTTTTATGCCCAACGAGTTTGATGTACCAGTGAAATAAGTGCAGAAAAATGCTGAATCATGAAAAAAATCCTGATTATTAAAATGTGACATTTTTAGCTTGAAAACACAAATTTATTAAATAAATTTTATTTATTTATTTATTCATTCATTTATTTATTTATTTATTTATTTATTTTTGCCTTAACTGCATGATTAGCCACAAACAGAGAACATATTTTAAATTTCAACTGTTTGTTTCATTCATTCAGTCTTCAAATAAATTCTATTCTGAACTGATTGGCAAATAATATTTAACTTTTACACTGCAAAAACTAATTTTAAACATTTTATCTTACTTTTAGTCAAAAAAATCAAAATCAAATCAAATCAAATTAACTTTAATTATAGAGCGCTTTCACATGGCCAAAATGGACAAACAAAGCGCTGTCCACCAATAAAAAGCACCACCATAGGACAGAGAAATGACCATTACAATACAATAAGAAATCCATGTAAAATACAATAATAAATCTGTTTAAAATACAATAAGAAATCCATTTAAAATACAATATAAAAACCTGAGTGCAAGTTCACAGTCCAATATTCGACCTACGTCCCCCAACTTCAAAGTCCAAACGCCAGCGAGAACAGATGTGTTTTTAGTCTTCCTTTAAAGGTTTCTAATGACTTGGCCTGTTTTACATCAGCTGGCAGCTCATTCCAGAGACTTGGTCCAAGTACTGAAAAGGCACGACTCCCACGAGACTTCAGGCTGTACCTAGGCACAGTTAGTAATCTCTGGTCAGCTGACCTAAGGGAACGCACCGGGACATGCTGGTGGATGACATCGGAAAGATATTTAGGAGCCCCTGTGTTTAACGCCTTAAACACAAACAGGATGACCTTAAACCTGATGCGATAAAAGACAGGGAGCCAATGCAAGGCACGTAGGACTGGTGTAATATGTTCAGACCTCCTGGTAGATGGTAACAACCGAGCTGCAGCGCTCTGAACCGCCTGGAGGCATGCTATTGGAGCTTGCCTAAGCCCCGCATATAGTGAATTACAATAATCCAGCCTGCAGGTAACAAAGGCATGGATTACAGTTTCCAAATGACTATGGGAAAGGAAAGGCTTAATTTTCGCTATGCAGCGTAGATGAATAAAGCAAGATCTCGCAATACCGTTCACTTGAGCATCAAATCTGAGTTATTCGTCCAGTTTTACCCCTAAGTTAGTGACCACCGCCTTCTGATGCGGTGCCAGAGTGGAAAAATCAAGCCCTTGGGCACCTCCTAGGGTCTTTGGTGGCGTAAACAGAATTACTTCAGTCTTGTGTTCGTTAAAACACAATAAGTTCTGAGCCAACCATAGCTTGATGTCCTCCAGGCAGTCCAACAGAGGTTGAATGGTGCATAAACCACCACGCT